CCTGGGCAGGGCTGTTTCCAGAGATAGACTACTATGACATGGTAACACTTAAATTCTCTCAAGGTCCTAGGACAACCATATTGGAAGGAAACAAACAATTATTAGGCACCTACTATTTGTCAAGCATTGTGCTAAGCACTTTACAAATATTACTTCATTTGATCCTCATGACAACTCTGGGAAGTAAATGCTATTATTATCCTCATTTTACAAACCTCTGTTTGCCTCAGTTTTCTCGCTATATAATGTGGATAATAATAGTGCCTGCCTCCCAGGGTTGTTGTGAGGACCAAATAAGATAATAATACTTTTGTAAAGCTCTTATCACAGGAACTGGCACATAGTAAGTGCTATATAAGTTGTTGTTGCTGTTGTTAAACAAACGTAAAGTAACTTGCCCAAGGTTAGCTAGTAAGTGAGGCTGGATTTGAACTCAGGTCTTCCTGACTCTAGGTCCAGAGCTTTATCCATAATTCTAGATTGTGATACCCCACTGATATAATTTTTCTATTTAAACAACCAGCCACTCACAATAACACACTTTTAAATCTCAAACATAACCATTAATTAGCAAAAAGGTAAAAGAAATAATGATATCTTACATATCTATGAGTTAATATATGTAAAGCACTCTACAAACCTTAAAGCACTATATAAATACTAGTTATTATTAATATATAAAATTAAACATGTAAATAATAAAATTTATCACAATCTGAATATAAAACTTGGCCATATTCTCCCACCAAGGTGCTCATTATGTATGAGGAAGAGTGGGCACATACATTTGACAGGAGAATTTGTCAGAGAAGCACACTATGAAGGAAAACTCTTGTGCTTGGGGTAACACTCTGAAATTCAGATCTTGATGTAATTAGTTTTTTCAGGATCATCTACACAGGAAAAATGATTTTTCTGCTAACTGCTTATCTGCTGGTCCTTACCACTCTCCAGCTAGATAAATCCTCTACTATACTAGAATGTTTTATTTATAAGTTCTTTCAATTTACAAACACCCCTTAAAAGGGCATATTAATGTGAGTAGCAATTCCCTTTAAGCCAGAAAACTAAGCTCATCAGACTGGCTACCTCTGGGCTCATTCACCCAGATACTCTTATCTTCGGAACAGAACAAAACTCACAGCAGCACACAGAATTCCAGTTGACCGTTTAATCAAGGCAAGTAAATCTGGATAAAAAGTAGCTGGTCTGTTTTCCCTTCAGCTTTTTCTTCTCAAACCATAGGTGGCAGCAGAGTCCAATAAACTCATGAGAAGCTTCAGCTCTTGCCAACAACTGTTCCTGAAGCTCTTGGTCAATAAAATCAATTCTCTCTCCCACCAATCAAGAATCAGTTGGAGCCTTCTGTCTGCTTCTAACTGCCACTAGAGCTCTAACCATGCAGCTTTTTAAGCCCCCTGCTGTGGCTTCATTATTTTCCTCAGGTTTCTATGTCAAGTTACTCTCCTTTCAGTGGCTTAAATAAAATTCTCCTTACCCTCAGAAATTCACTTTTCACTTACAAGAACTCACCAGATTTCCCCTGTAAAATAGTTGATCCTCTTATAATCATATTTTTGTCTCCAAATACATATGATTTCTCATTTTTTTAAAATTTTACCTTCTGTAGTAACTAAACCACTAGATGGAAAAAACTATTTGAGGATTGAGTTGAAATACTATATTCCCCTGCAGACATAAGGCTTAAGCATGGTCCAACATATCCAACCCACTTTGTGTCCTTGAACTTGTATTTTTTGTACTCACTTCTGTCCATTTTTAATAATAATTATTTCTCTGTCTCTTTAAAGTATCATCACACTGTTCACATGCAAGTGACATAGAATTTTACATCATTCATATAATGACTTGAGTTTTTGTAATTATGTCACAGTTTACTTTCTGTCCAAAATTACTCAAATCCCATCTGAAAGCTATTTCTTTAAACACATATCTTACAGGTTTTTATTAAAACAAAAACTTTCTTCTTTTAAACATAAAAAAAAATTTAATAACAGTGGCAATAATTTACATCTTTTAAAGACTGACATAACTCTTTTCCTTCATTTCCCTTATTTCCTTCATTCATTCATTTCCTTCTCATCTACCTCTAAACAACTCCACATAAATGGCATGTTATCTTAAAGTGACAATGTACCAGCAAAAGGATCACATATTGTAATAGTAACATTTCACCAGGAATCATAGAAATCCAGAGTTGGAAGAGATCTCAGCAGTCATGTAGCCCAACCCATACCAAAAAAAAAGAAAAAAGAACCCCCACTATAATTTACCTGACAAGTGGTCACCCAGTCTCTGCTGGACCTCAAGGAGAAGAAACCCACTACCTCCTGAGGTAGCCCCCTTCCATTCTGGATTGCTCTTGATTGTTAGGAAGTTTTTCCTAACATAAAATCTAAATTTGCCTCTTTGCAACTTCTACCAATTGCTCCTGGTTCTGCTCTTTGGGATCAAACAAAATAAACCTAATCCCTCTTCTACATAATTACCCTTCAAATACTTGAACACATCTTCCCCAAATATGTGATCTCTTCTCTAGACAAAATACCTCCAGTTACTTCAGCCAAAATTCATATGGTATGAACTCAAGGCCCACACCTTCTTTGTTGCCCTCCTCTGGACACTCTCCAGTTTATCAGTGCCTTTCTTCAAACACAACACCAAAAACTCTACATGGTGTTCCAGATATGGTTTGCCCAGAGCAGAGTACAATGGGACTATAATCTCCTTTTTCTTAGAAGCTATGTTTCTATGAGTGCAACCTCAAATCATACTAGTTTTTTTTATAGCTATATCATAATGTTGACTCATTAAAATTAGTCTGATAAAACCCCAGATCTTTTTTAAATAGTATTCAAGTGTTCCCTGTGTATATCACCTTCTAATTCTCTTCTGAAAGAAAGCATATATGATACATAGGCTTTAGGTTTCTGAGTACTGCATAAGCCTTTTCTTCAAAACCAAGACATTTTTTGAACATTTTTTTCATCATCTTCCCTTGTATCTTTACATTAAAGTTGTTGAGTATCAAAGTGTATGCCAATTTGGTTTGGAGAACTTTGTTAAGTATGTAATGTCTATAAAGTTCTTTGCAAACCTTAAAGTACTATCTAAATGTCAGCTACAAGAGAAGGAGGAAGTCTCCAGCTGTGTTAAGTCTCTATCTAGCTCTTTATCACATGCAATAGAAGTTGGTATAAAATTGGCAAGTATCTTCATGGTGGGGAAGTGAGCAAACATTTATTAAGCACCTATATTATGTGCCAAGCACTATGCTAAGCACTTTATAAATATCTCTTTGATCAAATGTATTTTTTTTGTTTATGTTCATCAATGAAACTGTAAGATGATATTGCCAAGTGTCCCATAGTTTCCTTGGTTTCCCTAGACATGAAAAAAAAACATTTTTCCTGGCTTCCCTGGCTTCTTTTAAGTCCCAGCTAAATTCCCATTATCTACAGGATACCCCTTAATTCTAGTGCCTTCCTACTGTTGATTATCTCCAATTTGTACTGTACATATCTTGTTTGTACATAGTTCTTGGCATCTCCTATATAGACTATAAGCTCCCAGAGGTCAGAGAACATGTGTTTTTTTTTTTCCTTTCTTTGTATCTCCCAGCAATTAGCATAGTGCCTGATACATAGTAAAGGCTTAATAAATGCTAGTTGACTGATTGAATTTAGATGAGCTCCTTTAGTGGCTATCTAGAATGATTTGCTCTGCCCTCCCCTCTATGAAATTTCAATAACAAAAAGAACAAAATCTCAGGTCTAGTCTTGGTTTTAACACTAACCAGTGTGATCTTGGGCAAATCACTTAACTTCTCAGGGCTTCAGTTTCTTCATCTATGAAAAGGAGGCCATACATTCCCTATTTACCCCACCTAGTGGTTATAAGAATCAGATGAGCTAATGATATGAGAGTATTTCATATGAAACACTTTACATGTGTAACATCCCACTCCTGCCTCAGGTCCTTGCATTGAGTCCCTAAAAGATAGCCCTATGACACATTCACTATGTGGATATGGTGATGGTAGTAGTAGTAGTAGTAGTAGTAGTAGAAGTAGTAATAACATAGTAATACTAGTTATGGTCTTCTTACTACACATTTAAAGAATGTAAGTTGAATGTAAGTCGGAGTGATAGTTGAAAACTATTTTCACTTCTAAGCAGGGACACCTGCCATTGCGGACTTAGTTATGAACTGATTGTATGCAAATAAGACTTAACATTTTTGAAACACCAGGAGGCAGAAGTGGGAGTCCAGGTGTGGAACACTGAATACAATATGAGTTATTTTTAATGCATTTATTGGTTTAACTGAATTTTTTTTCCTCTTCTTCCTCTTTTTCTTTTAAAAAAATTTTTTGGTTGCCCCTTATAAGGGATGGCTCTCTGAGAGGGGCAAAGGTGAGAGATACCAGGAAAAATCTAAGTAATATAAAAACAAAAGATATCAGTATAATTTTTTAAAGGAAGAAAATAGATGGAAATTATACAATATAAAGTATTGCCAAGAATTTTTAAAAATTGGGGAGGGGAACTCTTAAGGTCATTTTCAGCTCTGGCATCTTAAAAAGAATTATTTGAAAGTAAGGGGTAGTTAGATACTAGACATGGGTTTACCTTCTCCAAGAAAGATGCCCAACTGAGTGGATAGTTTCAAGAGAAACAGTAACACTGTTGACAGAACTCTAGACTTGGAGACCTGAGACAGGGCCTTGAATCTCTTATCTTGCATTTACTAACTATGTGAACCCGGACCAGTAATTTCACTCAGTTTCTGCATTTGTAAAATGAGATAGTTGGACCAGAAGACTTCTAAAGGACCCTCTAGATTTAAACGTTTCCTTCCCAAAAGCAGGAAGACAAGTGAAATGATTTCTCAAGATCTCTTCTGGCTATAGTAGAAGTCTTAGGACTTTAGACTGGATTGCCAGGAAACTAACTTTCAGTAATTATTCCCCATTTTAGATCCATTTTATTGGATTAACCCTGGAATGCTGGTTCTGATTGCTGTCCTGCCCATTCTCATCCTGCAGATCACCATTGGCCTTGGTTTTCTCTACATGCAGCACAGACTGAGAGGTATTATAGTACATAATAGGCCAAAAATGAGAACAATATAGGGGTTAGTAAGCTGAGAACAATACATATTTTATTCTGTGAAGGGGAGGTCAATAGAACATGGTTGGTCAAGTATTTCCTGTATACCCCCATATACAAAACTCTATACTGAGCACTATACAGCAAAACAAAAGGAAAAGAGATGGTTCCTGACCTTGGTAAAATTGTGAAGTAAGCAAACTTTGCTTTTTCATAATCCCAGCATCCCAGTTCTGAAGTCTTTTCCCCAGCTAACTGGTGCCTTCCTCCCCACCTGACCCACAATCTACTGCCCTCTCATCCTATCTTCTACCTGTTAATATACCTTATTCTTCTTGAAATCTCCTACTGTGCTCTGCTCAAATTTTTTTTAATGGAATCAAATTGAAGTTCGAAGGCAGAGGTGACTATCTAAGTCTGGTGAATATCTAACTATGAACTCTCCAAAAATGTATACTGGACCTGCTTTTAAATCTGCATTATTAACATTTTCTCAACCACTTTCTTAAATCTAGACAACCAATAAACCAATAAATCAAGCCCTGATTTATAGCTTTTGTCAATTTCAGAGGTGTAAGTGCTCACACTGAAAATTTCACAATTGGCTTTCTCCAGTTTGAGCTGGCTCCAGCACAAAAGTACGGATTTTCAGGCCTTAGCCAGAGAGAGGGCAAAATGAAACAGCATGTTTGTGCCCCTGAAATCATGCTTCACAGTTGGTAGTCTGCTTCTACTTGGTTCCAGGCGTTGGGTAATTCAAAGCCTCAAATAGTAGTTCATGTTAAATTATATTCAGAAACACATGAAACAACTGAAGATTTAGAAGGCCACATATCAGTCAATACAAACGCAAAATAATGCCTACACTCTGAGCATCAAATATCTGGGCTGGGGCCAAAGTGAAAGCCCAATCAAAATGAACTTGTAATTAGTCCCAGATTTCATAAGTTCAAGGAGGGGAGGAACAATATAGATAGAACGAAAGGGGATCCCAGGTAGTAGAGGAAGGGCCTGAGCAAAGACGCAGGGATATTGGGGAGAAGTGATCTTGGGCTCAGAGTCATAGCAAAACAGGAATCAACATATGTCTCTGTCTCTATTTTAGGCAAACTCCAAGCAGAGATTGGTAAGTTCTATGCATACCTATCTCATTGTAGTACCCTGGGTGAAGCTGGAAATCTCCCATCAAGTCTCAGAAACTGTCTCTTTCAATTCGGGTGATGGGGGGAAGGGGGAGGGGAGGGGAAGGATAGACCTTGATTTATGCTGGTGTAGATGCCCTGGCGGATACTGAGATGGTCTTACTCTTATAGTCTCTCCCATCCTCCTCCAAAACCCTAAGTTCACCAACACATTTTGGAGTAGTAGAAAGAGCACTTAGCTTAGAGTAAAAAAGACCTGAGTTCTTATTCCAGTTTTTCAACTTTGGAAAATCTCTTAGCCTCTCTGGGTCTCAATTTCCCCATTTGTAAAATGAAAGAGTTGGATTAGATTACTGCTAAAGTTCTTTTCAGTTCTACATTCTTTTGGCTTGGAAAATTCTTCATTTTTAAAAGACTCCCTACGATCTTACAAGAGGCCTTCTCATTCAGTCCCCTCCCTTTAGAGAAAGCATTATTTCCCTAGACTCTAATTGTCTCCAAAGACAATGAGAATGCTCCCTCTCATTCTCTCACTATTCACCTCCTCCCTCTCAAAACTGAATAATTCCAGGAGCAAGTGAAAGAAAATAGATAACAGATTCCCTAAAAAAGAGAAAGAAGCAGCCCAGGCCTAGTGTCTATCACATCTAAACTAATATTTTATTCCCCTTTGTGTTTCAGAGAATCTCCACCGAACTTTTGGTAAGTTCTCTCTCTCTCTCTCTCTTCCTATCTCCCTATCCCAGTGTCTCCAGTTAAATTGTGTTTCACCAGCCATGCTTCATCTTCCTGTTTTGGTCACTAGAGAAATAAGGACCCCGGCAGACAATAAATGCAAGGGGCTTGAGGATAGGAAATGGGAATAAGAACATAGTTATTTCCCTACTCCATTTCATTCAACAGGAATGTCACTTTGTATATACAGCACTGCAGTAGCCACTGGGATGGGGGCAGGTAGGATGTAAAGGAGGGACATACATATGATTATTTCATACCAACAATGTAGTCTAAAATACTGTAAATCAAAACAAACTGGCTTCCTATAACATAGTAAAGACTGTAGGGTGGGATAAGAGGGAGATCACAGTGGAATGGGCTTAGTCAAGGAAGGCTTTTTGGAGGAGGAAAATCTTGAACCATATCAAGAAGTATGGGATTTTGATCATTAGAGAAACAATAGAGGGGAAAGAGACATTAGGTGTACAAACCCAAGGCAGATATGTACAAGGCTTAAGAAAAGCCAGAGCAAAGGAACCACACTGAAGACTTCCTAAGGTTAAAAGCAAATCATCCTGTGACTTGCTCATTACTGGGCTTGGAATTAGTTTACCTGGGTCTGTATCTTATCCTGGTTCTTCCATTTACTAGCTGTGACCTTGGACAAATCACTCTGGATCTCAATTTCATCATCTCCCAAATCAATCAATCACTCACTCAATAAACATTTATTAAGGTCCTAATATGTGCCAAGTCAGGGGTCTAAAACAGTGGTGTTAAACTCAAACAGAACTATCTTAGAAAACCATAAATTCACATTGTCTATGTTGTTCTGTATTTTTATTTATTTTGTTAAACATTACCCAATTACATTCAAATCTGCTTGGGGGAGTTGTGCAGGTCTCAGTGCTATTTATGGGCAAGGAGTTTGTTGTTGGGGCAGCTAGGTAGCATAGTAGATGGAGTACTGGGCCTGAAGTCAGGAAGATGAGTCTTCCTCAGATACTTCCTAGCTGTGTGACCCTGGACAAATCACTTAACCCTGTTTGCCTCAGTTTCCTTACCTATAAAATGAGCTGGAGAAGGAAATGGCAAACCATTCCAGTATCTTTGCCAAAAAAACTCCAAATGAGGTCACAAAGAGTCAGACATGACTGCACAATAACAACACCCAATTATATTTGAATCTGTTTTGGGAGAGTTTTGCAGGTCTCAATGCTGCTCATGGGCAGGGAGTTTGATACCTCTCATTGGGACTAATCGTTGCTAAGGTCCCTTCTTATGCTAACATTCTATAATTCTGCATTCAGAGGACAGAAACTTAACTGTGGGCTGAGTAGATGAAAGAAGAATTGAGGAAGTGGTACCTGAGGACGAAGGATGGGTAGGATTTTGATAAACTGCCAGGAGTTGGGGGAGGATTTACATTTGATACAGTCATTATGATCATTCCTAGAAATATAAACTATCCAGATGTATAATGGGCTGCTGAAGAAGGTTCTAGTCCTGTCTCAGTTGAATCCCTTCATACAAAGTTTGGATAATCAGTTTTTTGGGGGGGTTAAGGTGGGGTTACAAGGTTACAGGATGGCTTCCAAGGCCTCTCCTTCACTGAGATTCTGTCATTCTGATGCTGTGATTCTATATTCAGATCCCCATTTCCTGAGAGTGCCCTGCTGGAAGATAACACTTTTTGTGATAGTGCCCGTTCTGGGACCCTTCATTGCCATGATCATCTGTTACAACTGGCTGCATCGAAGACTGGCAGGTAGACTATCAAAGTTGGGAACTCACGGGCAATCAAAAGTAGAGTCTCCTTAAAATGAGATGCAGAGGAAGCTGGGACTTGGGGGACAAAATTAAAGAATACTGGAGTCCCCAAAACACACACACATATAAACACATGATTCCCTAAGGGTCCTAGAAGATACTTATCAAAGTAAGAGGGCAAACATTTCTAGATTCCTGAGTGAAATGATAGCAAGGATTGATCTCTGAGTATTCCAAAAAGAAAGAGCTCAGGGAGGCTTTGGGGCAATCAGCCCAGGCTAGGGATCAGCTGGTCAGGAAATTTGACAGTGACCTATTTGTTTCTCTTTCTGTTTTAGGACAATTCCTTGAAGAGCTAAGTAAGTTCCATGTTTCCTCCCATTAATGTGTCTCAATGAGTTTTAACTTTACATTTCCCCATCCACATCTTCTCTCCTCCATTTCATTCTCCTGCAGCATGGGGTTCTAGGTCCCCAGGAAGTCCTAATATCCACAACAGGGATTTTACTAGTATAGTCTTGCCATATAGTAGTTGTTTATTTAATAATAGCTAACATTTACATGGTGCTTTAAAATTTACAAAGAACTTTACATATATTATCTTATTTTATCCTCACAATAACCCTATGAGGGAGGTGCTATTATTACCCCCATTTTCTAGATGAGGAAACTGAGACTGAGAGAAACTAAGTAAGTTGGCCGGGGTCACAAAACTAGTAAGCATCTAACAAAGGACATGAACTCAGGTCATCTTCCTAATTCTATGTCCAATTCTCAATCTACTGACACCCAGTCTTTCTAATTTTACATTAATTTATGGTGAAAATCTATATCCCTTTCCTTCACTTTAGATGACTCCTCCTCTAGCCCAGAAGGAAAGGAGTAAGGAGTCTTTCACCTGTGGAGGCATTTCTAGGGGAGGAGAAGCCTCAGCCTCCTTTCCCTTAATTCCTATGTCTCAGAAAATTATTACCTAGGTCTCTTTTTGTAATAGTACAAATTTCATTCAATTTAGGATCACAGGATCAAAGATTTAGAGCTAGAAAGGACCTTAAAAACCATCTAGTCCAGCCTCCTCATTTTATAGATGAAAAAACTGAGGCTCATGGAGGTTAAATGACTTACCCAAAGTCACAAAGATTGTAAGCATACTTCTCATTAGAGATGAGGAACAGCTGGTTACTACCCTCTTCATGGCAGTAACTAACTCTTTAGAAAAACAATTGGTTGCTTTCTTTACCACTCCATTCATAACTAGCTGTGTGTCCTGAGACAAGTCACATAACCTCAATGAATTTTTCTATAGATACTATAGAAATGTAAAGTATTACTAGCTAAGGACTCTTCTGGATCTAAAATCCAATTTTTCATTTCTATCCACAAATTATTAAATTCTTAGAAATGCACTATTTTTCCTGACTCAGGTCAAGAGAGAAGGAGGGAACCAGAAGGACAAGCAGGCAGGGAGTCCTAAAAACAATCAACATTAGAAAAGAGTTCCTTCTCTAGGTGGGAGCAGTCCTACCGTAGGTAGGGAGATGGATATAACATGCAGAGTCCTCTCTGATTCTGTGATCCATGCCATTGAAAAAGGGTAAATCAGTCAACAAGCATTCATTAAACTTTTTAAAATTATTATATTATTTATTTACTTACATTTATTTCTATGTTTACATGTATACTGATATAATTTGTGTTCATTTATTATAGAATTTATAGCATTATTTATTACTACATGTGAGGTACTGTGTTAAGCACTAGGGAGCCAAAGAAAGGCAAATGCATGGTCTCTGCACTCAAGGAACTCACATTCTAATGAGGAAACAATATGCTAATGACTATATACAGAATAGATGAAATGTCATCTCAGAGAGAAAGGGGCAGGGGTCATGATAGGAAAGACCTCTTGAAGAAGGTGATATTTGAGCTAAGTCTTGAAAGAACCCAGAGAAGTCAGGAGGGAGAGAATTCTAGGCATGGGGGACAGCCAGTGAAAAAGTGGGAGATGGAGTGTCATGTTTGAGGGACAACAAGGCCAACGTTGTTGTATCATAGAGTATATAGAGGGGAATATGGTGAAAGAATAGAAAGATAGGAAGGAGCCAGGTTGTGAAAGGTTTTAAAAGCCAAATGACTTTGTATTTGATCCCCGAGGTAAGAAGCCACTTGGAGTTTCTTGAGTAAGTGAGGGGAGTGACAAGGACATGTCACAAGTGACACGGTGAGACCTGTACTTTAAGATCACTTTGGCATCTGAATGAAGGATGGACTTCAGTGGGGAGGGACTTAGGGCAGGGGGACCAAATAGCACACTTGCAGCAATCCAGGCATTAGGTGATGAGGGCCTCACCAGGGCAGTGGCTACATAGGTAGAGAAGAAAACTTCTATGAGAGGTGTCATAAAGGTAGTAATGACAGACTGAACAACAAATCTGATATGTGGTATGAATGCAAATGAGGAATTGAGAATAACAGTTAGGTTGTGAGCCTGGGTAACTGGGAAGATAGTGGTACCTCTCTATAATGATAGGGAAGTTGGGAAGAGGGGAGGATTTGAGGGGAAAGATAATGAGTTCTATTTCATACATGAAGAGTTTGAGATGCCCATGGGACATCCAGTTCAAGTGTCCAAAAGTGGTTTTTTTCTTCTTTCAGAATACCCCTTTTGAGTAATGTTGGCCTCCCCTTGAAGCAACAGTGAAGAAGCTGACCAACTTGATCCTTCACTGGAGGGCAGGTCACTGACTGGTCTACGAGAGAGGTGCACCCTCCAGAACCCTTCTCCCTCAGGATTCCTCACCCATTTGCTGAGGAGAGAAGACATTCAAATTGACACTTACAGGGTCCTTTCTGGACCTCAGGTCCAAAACAGGAAGGATTCTTTCTTCTTCTTTCTGTTCTCCATTCTCCTAACTCCTTCTTTTGCCCTATCCTTCTCTACCTTGTTTCTTTCTGCAGTTTCCTTTTTCTTTCCATTTCTATCACTCCACTTATTTTCTTTGCCCTTCCTTCACTTATCATCCCCCTTCTTTGTTTTCTTCTTGACAGTCCTCTTCAACTTGACTGCCATTTTGCAGTCCATCTTTAACCCTCAGAAATGGATAGATACTGTGATCCACTCTTTATTCCCCTGGAGACACCAGCATCACGAGGGCAGAGATATCATCTCTGCTTCAAGGAGCAACCCAGGCCTCTCCCCTAAGCAGAAACTCAGGGCCTTTGGCATCACATACAAATTAAGGGCCCAACGAAATGCAAATGAACATTCATTTCTTTCTGCAAAGAGCTAGGGCCTGTGTGTAATGCGGGCAAAAGGGATGAAACCTCAGAGACCTAGAAGGTGAGGCACCTGCTGGGCCTGAGGAGTGCATATGGGAGAGTCTCATGTAGGAACTGGGAGGTCATATAGATAGGAAGTCGTCTCAAGAATCCTAGACTTAAAAAAAATCCTAGACTTTAGGTAAGTTTCTGCGATGGTAGCAGATTAATGATAAATCAGAGTGCCTGGGGATTAGAAGTGGTGGAGTTCTGTTTCTCTTCTATATTCACTTTCCATATGTATCCTTTCCTCTATCTAGTCTTCTTTCTCCCTACCTCCTCATTTTTCATCCTTTTCTCTCTGTCAATCTCTTATTTATTCAACCACTATTTATTGAATGACTACCATGTGTAAAAGAACTGTGCTAGGTGCTGATTAATAATACTATCCCCTTTCACTCACCCCATTCCTTCTTCCTTTGTATGCCTCTCTCCCTTCCCCTTCTTCATCTCAACATTGTTCCTTATCATATCACAGATGCCATAAAGGTCAGCCTACAGTCCACAGTCTGTACTTCCATGCTCATAAAAAACAAGCACCAATACCTTAGACTGAAAAGGCCACTTATGTATGAGTCTATGAACCCCACTGCTAGACTTTCCTTAGTCCCTTCCTATTTGCTTTTAACTGGATTCCCTTCACTTTTTTCCACACATACACTCCGAAGTCATCCCATTTGTCCACAGACCATGCCAAGGAAACTAATATTCTCTCAGTGTGTACACATAAAGGGAAAAGGAAAAAAAATTAAAGTCACTGATCCCAAATCACCCATCGTAGGAGCTGAGATATTCTTTCCCACCCACCTCAAGATCCCTTGTCCTCATGACTCTTCTAATGGGTGATGAGGCCTTACTTTTTGTCAAAGCAAACACCTAGATAGGGCAGCAATATCTTCTTCTCTCAGTGGTCCTTTGGTGTCAAATGAACTCTGAGAAGCTAAAGCTTTTCCCTACACTGGGAGCAGCAGTAGATTTGTCCCTTATTGTGCACCCTCCTGTGGCCACAGATATGAGCTCTAGCTAATGCTCTGTCAGGATATTCAGGTGGAAGAAAAAGATTAGGAGTTGGAACCTGAAGGATACCAGGTATGTGCCTCACCTAAGTGGTGGCCCTTTAGCTCTGACGTGTCCTAGAAACCTTTACCACACTGAGAATAGTGGTAAGTACAATTCTAGGGGTGGACCTGACAGGATCATGTCAGTCTTATCACACAGTAACATTAGTAGAATTTTTTCAGAGATGTGTACACTCATGGCAATTGAGATCTGAGGCATCCCAGGATGACGCCTCACATTGGAAACAGACATGGAGCCACTCATCTATGTGTACCTACCGGTGATTATCAAAGTGGCAGTGGCCACTGAAGCACTTGCATAGATGGAACAGGGTAAGGGCTCTTCTGTGGGAGGACAGAGGCAGGATTCTGGTCATGAGAGCCTACTGAGTGGGAAGAAGTCTCTGGCTCTCTCCTTCCCAAGAACAGTCAGCAATTCTCTCATCTTCCTATATCAGGGCATACATTTGAAACTCTGTAGAATTCTTTTTGGTTCCTATAGAAGAGTGGAGAGTAAAGATAATCATTACATGATGACATGTAGTAACAACCCCAACATAAACTCTACATCCTAGCCAATCCAACATGCTTACCACCCCTATAATTCATTGTTCCCAAGTTTCAAGAAATCTCCCCAGATTTTTAACCATTCCATCTACCCCTCAATCAATATATGTTGGCTTTTTCTAAGTCTTACAAAATCAGTCTGGACATCTTTCATCTTGTATCTCTCAGCTACCATGTGACAATTTTTCAGTTTTCATGTTTCCTCCATCCCCAACATGGATGTGTGATTTTTGAGATTAAGTCTTCTGCTTTCTTTAAATCTCATTAAACACCTATTTTTTAATGCCACAAATAATGGATAACCAATACTGTTGAATCACAGAACTATAGAGACCATCATACAGGCCTTCACCCAACCTATTCAAACCAGGTATCCTATTAATCCTTTAAAAGGACAAGGATTCCATAGTATCCCTTGGCACTTAGTGCCAGGAATCCTTGCTCTTTATTGCCACAGTGTCCTTCCTTATGAGAATGGCCTTTGGACTGGAGACTTGGGAAAAGAGCCTGACCACTGAATGGACCTTGACTCCCAAGTGAAAAAAAAGGGTTTGTGAATTGGAAACAAGAGCTGAAAAAGCAAGAAGCTGGAGAGAGAATCATAATCATGGTTTGCAAACACCATGCTAGGGTTGGACAGGAGCAGCAGCTAAGAGAAAAGCCATGAGAGACCATCAGAGGGTCTTCACTAATCCTCTGCTACAAATGCAAGAGGGAAAGCTGAAGCACCAGGGATCCACAGCGTGGGGTGATGCATATCAGCCAAAGGTCCATGGCTGATCTAGTGACCCTCCACATCCTACCAAGGCCACTTTTCCGAGCTAACATAAAGTGCAAATTCATTCATCTCTTATCTGTCACTTTTCATTTAGATTTGATTTACCTGCTATGCAAGTTCATTCATCTCTTATCTGTTATTTTTCATTAGATTTGATTTACCTACTATAAAAATCTGTTGGCCAGCAGAAACACTAAGCAGTGTATTTAAGGTTTTATACAAATAGAGCATAAGAGAGAACATTTCTTATTCTAGGGAGATGTCAAGTTTGGTTTACACTGGGAGCTTAGGAACTAATTTAGTGGCAGGAAAATATTGACCTGCTAGCAATAAACCTGGCAAACAAATTCAGAATTCACATATCCCTTTGCTGGCTGCTGTCCTTGCCAGTTGATAATCTAAAAGTATATGAACCCCAAATTCAAATGATGCAGGGAGACTTGGCCTTCTAACAAGTCAATACTCCTATCCAAAATCAGCTTCCAAGTTCACAGGTTCAGCCCAAACCACACTTTACATCTCCCTAGAATAAAGAATGCTATTTATTTTATCTGCTATTTTAAAGTCTTAAATAAAATACACATGGATTAGTATTTCTGCTAGCCATCAAGATTTTATAGTAAATCTAAATTGAAAATAACAGATAAAGAATACATCAGTCTGCACTCTCAGTGAAGCATGGATAAACAGCTTTACTAGGAGGTGGAAAAAGTCACCTGATTAGTTTTAGCTGGCTGGATCTCACTCCCCGAGCTACAAATTGCTGGCACCACCTGTCTTGACTACAAAGTATACTATGAGCTCAGCACAGGACTAATGTACACCTTATGATAGGCTCTTAGGGTTTATGTCTCAGCAAATGCCCCTGAAATGCTCCAGCCCTATGCCTCCTGCCTACAAATTCATTCACCTCTCAGGCCTCTGTGTCTCCTTCCTGCTTGCTCCATTTTCAGGCCTCTAGCTTTTTACTATCCTTTTTCCAAAGGTGAGTAAGTAGGGCTGAGCTTGGGAGTCAAGGTTACTTTTTGTCCAGCAGTCAGGCTTCTCTCTCAAATCTCTCTGCTCCAAAGGCAGGCTACACTTATATCTGACCTAAGTTGTCCTTGCTGCTGATTGAACCTAGTTTTGTACTATGCTTAATGAAGAGAAAGTATGAATGGCTTAATACTTCATAAGTGTGATATATGGGCATATGTGTGATATGTGCAAGCAGGATATACCTAGGCAGCTCCGTGGCACAGTGGATAGAGCACTAGGCCTGGAGTCAGGAAGATATGAGTTCAAATCTGGCTTCAGACATTTACTAGCTATGGGAAGACCACCTTCTGCCTCAGTTTCTTCAATTATAAAATGGTAAATAATAGTACCTACTTCCTAAGGTTGTTGTGAGGATTGAATAATTTATTTGTAAAGCATTTAGCATAGTGTTTGGCACATAGTAAGCACTATATAAATGCTAGTTATTTTTACTATTATTATCATTATATGTACTCAGTGGGTTTTCCTGACTGACCCTTGAGATGTTGCACAGGCAATAGCAGCTTATCCATGGCTCATGAGCCTGCTTTCTATAAGCCTATAGAAAAGCAGGCTGTCACTTTAATAATTAATTGAAGGAAATCCTTACCGACCTTGGTTCAACAGAGGTCTTAAATTATGATAAAAATATGCTCCAAATTTAAGAAAAGAAAATTATCAATGATCGTGAGTTTCCATTGCTACTTCTGAGATCTTTCCTTCTCATTCACAAACCTCTATGTTTACTACTACTACTACTACTGCTGCTGCTGCTGCTGCTGCTGCTGCTGCTACTGCCACTACTACTACTACTCACTCAGGCAAACCACAATGTAGCCATACACATTTAATTGTTCAAAGAAAATGAACAAGACATTAAGAGCTATTCCATGCTGCACTCAGCCCTATTGAGGTCCACCGTCTTTCCCACTTTCCCCAGGTGATGAAAGAATTAGGGGAAGGAGTTCTGCCTCTTTATTGTTGTTGTTGTTCAGTTGTTTTCAGTCGTGTCCAACTCTTCATGACCCTATTTGGGATTTTCTTGGTAAAAATACTGAGGTAGTT